ACTACATGTAAAGGACTTAAGCTACATAAGGAATAGGTAATGTCTTGCCAACTAAAAGGGAGTATGAATATAGCCATAAGTGAAAGAAGTTCATTATGCAGTTGAGAGTGACTTCAGGCAATGTATCCAGGCCACAAGTGCAGGGAGGGAGCACATGTCCAAGTAACTTACCTCCGTTCATAACTGAAGAAGTCACTAATACTTGACATAAGACAGTTCTTAGCATTGGCTGGAATCCCACTCTAAATTCCTATACCAAAAACTTCAGTTGGCCTTCATTGTAGTGGTGGTGCTTGATTCTGTTTAGCGTGGCTAAATGTAATTTCTGTGGCACTGGTAGAAAAACGCAGTTGTGCTGGGAAGTCTAGAACTCCTCTTTCCTTAGTGATGTGACAAAAATAAGGATATTGTAAAACCTCAGTCTTCACAAAGAGCATTTCTGACTAAGACAGGTCCCATGCTGCAGGTATCACTGAGGTAGGGGGCTGGGTTCCAATGTGTCTGTACATTGACCTAGTCACAACAGTTAAGATCAAGGGCAGAAGTGATAGAGTAAGGCCCTGTAGAGTCCAGGATCTTAAATTCATGTATTAAATTCTTGCTCTGCCAGAGGATCTGTATGTAATGGTTTAGCACTGACAAGTTTAACTCCATTGTTGCTGAGTTATTTCCCAAAACCATGAAAGGCACTGAGTAGTTGAGTGGGAAAGCGGGAGGGGGCGGAGGGGAAGAGAGGAGAAGATTGTCATTTCTATTTTTAGCCTTTCAGGCAGGTACATTAAACAGATATGCAGTTTGGCTATAGTCACCATAGCCATTAACTTGATTAAATTTTATCCAGGAGTACATCATGTTTTCTTTACAGAATAAAAAAGTTTTCCTGTATGTTAGTATCTACTTCCTCCCCCAAACTATTTTTGCAGTTTAGAAAAAGTGCACTGTTCAACAGACGCTCCTTCAAGGAGATTTATTTTGAAACAGTAGTAGCAAGAGTAGCTGCTCCATTGTGGGAGTTGTATTCAGTCACACAGTATAGTCAGCTGGCAATGGGGATTTGAAGGGAAAATTCTAACATTTATTATTCATAGGAGACTGGTAATTTTAAGAGTAAATGGGCAGACCAGGGAGAATGTGATTACATTTTCTACCGCTCCAATTCCAACTGTCTATTCTAATAGTTTTAGCGGCTAAAACTAAGTTCCTTTTACTGTATAATAAGTTCACTCAGGAAAACAAGGTCCCAGTGACCAGCCTCAATACTTGCATCCACATTCACATAGATGCAAATTGGGATCCCTATTTATTTTATCACAAAAATCCCAGATGGGTATAAAATTGTGGGCTGAAATATATTGAAACAGGTGATGTTAATGAGCACCAACACAAAGTTCTAGATAAGTTTATGGAGGGAATGGTTTAATGGGATAACATGATTTTAGTCAAAGGAACAGCGTGCCATGGCAGGTAAATAGTATAATGGCTAATGAGGGTCAGGCTGGAGAATCTTGCCTACGTGCTCGGGGTTTTACTGATCGCCATATTTGGGGTCGGGAAGGAATTTTCCTCCAGGGTAGATGCAGAGGCCCTGGAGGTTTTTCGCCTTCCTCCACAGCATGGGTCAGGGATCGCTAGCTGGAGAATTCTCTGCTAATTGAAGTCTCTAAACCACAGGATTTGGGGACTTCAACAGCAGAGTCAAGGGAAAGGGTAGGGACGGCTTTGTGTCCTGCATCATGCGGGAGGTCAGACCAGATGATCATAATGGTCCCTTCTGACCTTAAAGTCTATGAGTCTATGAGTCTATG